GAAATGCTGTGAGACCCTAGCTAAGAAGAGCTTCCATTTGTCCCAGATATTGGACATGGAGTTGTCTGAGGGAGTAAACTGTCTCCGTACCTGGAATTCACTTGAAAATATTTCAGCAAAAGATAAAAGAAAATAAACAGACGAAGCAAATGTGACAATGTAATAATGGTAAGTTAATATCTTAAAACTCATTACAAGCATTTAACAACAACAACAACAATAACAACAATGAATTCTCGTGAGGCAAGAGGAAAGGTGGGCATCACTTACTGAAAAGAAGTCCTCATGGAGGTCTGATCCCCATTAATGCAGCTTCACCAGCTTTGGGCAGAGAGAGCCAGGGTCAGGAAGTGATTTTTGGTTTTCTGTCTTCTGTCTGCCAGGTACTGTGGTTGGGTTGGGGGAGCCTTCCGCCCACTTCTCAATGCAAGACACTATCTGTCAGATCCAACCCTACTGGGGATAATAGGCTGCTTAGCCCAGCCAACCAGCATGGGGGCTTATGAATATGCAAATTGGAGCCCCTGAGCTGGTTGGCTGACCCCTGTCATTTCCCACCCCCATTGCAAATCGGGTTCTCTGAAAGTCAGCTCAGAGGGTTTCTTGAAATGCCATCTTTTCCATCATTGCTAAGAATTTGCAGACCTCTTTGAAGATTTGGAGCGTGGACTGCTCAGTTTCCCACTGCTCTTGCCTCAGCGCCTGACCTCTGTCTCCGAGTTTCGTGGTGAGACACCTCCAAAGTGATCATTTCTTCGGACCCTTCCAGCAACCTCAGGAGTCTGAATTCTAGCTAGCATCAAAATCTCGTACCTCAGATCTTAGGAAGAACTGACTGCGAGGCCTGCCCCGGCAGGAGAGGCTGGAACACGTTTAGGAAAGCTGGTTGCTGATATGGAAGCCCATTTTCTGACAGAGTCGAGAACCCGCTTTTACCCAAATCATCACCCAGAATTTGACATTTTTCTCCACTTCACCCTGGGAAGGGAAATTAATGATGTGTAAAATGCAGCGGTGAGAATCAGTGCACCAGGCTGGAGAGATGACTCTGCGGTTAAGAGCATTGGCTGCTCCTCCAGAGGTCCCGGGTTCCATTCCTACATAAAATTTAAAAGTCTTAAAAAAGAGAGACAATCAGCACAGGACAGCTCATCTTATCAGCGTGAATCAATCCTCGAAACACAATGTGGAGGGGAAAAAGTCAGTGTGGTACAAGGACTGTGATTCCATTTCCATCAAGTTAAAAAACAGCGCCCCAAAGGGGCTGGATTTTCACTATAGATAAATCTATTCATTATTTTACATTATAGCTGCATATATCAGTCAATGAAATCTGGGTGCCATTGGTGATACACAGTGACCCTCTATGGCTTTAGTCCATAGATGGAAGGAAAGGCTGTATAGTACCATTCAGTAATATTCATATGGACATACATGTATAGACACACACACACGTAAAGATGCGAAAGCATGGCTCAGACCACATACACAAATACCAGAGGATTTGAGGTTAGGGGAAAGAACATTGTTGGGTTACTCAAGGTGAATTGACCACTGAGTGGAGTTTTCCATTCATGGAACCAGGTGACCTTTTCTAAAACCACAGAATCTTTATGGAATTTGAAAGTGTGCATTTTCCTAACAAGTGCTGCTACTTGCTTTTATGAGCACATACATGTCCCTATAGTCCAGTGGTTCTCAACCTGGGGATTGGCCTTTGGGGTTCGAACAACTCTCTCACGGGGGTTGCCTAAGGCCATCAGAAAACACAGATACTTACATTATGATTCATGAAAGTAGCAAAATTATAGTTATAAAGTAGCAACAAAAATAGTTTTATGGTTGGGGGTCAGCACAACATGAGGACCCCAGCATTAGGAGGGTTGAGAACCACTGGCCTAGGCAGCGCTGTTTCTAGAGAGACTTTACCAGAAAAATGTTCTAGCTTGTAGTATCGTAACTTGTAGACCACAGAAGACAATTTCAACCCTTATTCTCTGGGAAAAGCTTTGCATACGATTGTGTACAAATGTATTCATATACATTAAAAGCACTTTTGGAAGTGCTGGGGATTAAACCTAAGGTATTATGCTTGCTAGGATTTGGAAAACAGTCTATCACTGAGCTATATTCCCAGTCTACTCTTCTTTTTGAAAGAGGATCATGCTACATTTCCCAGCTGGCCTTGAATTCACAACCCTCCTAACTCTCTCTCTCTCTCTCTTTGGTTTTTCAAGACAGGGTTTCTGTGTGTAACAGCCCTAGCTGGCCTGGAAGTAGGTCTGTAGACCAGGCTGGCCTTGAACTCAGGAGATTCTCCTGCCTCTGCTTTAAAAAGGCTGGAATTAAAGGCATGCGCCACCAAAGCCTGCTTGACCTTTTTTTTTTTTTTTAAAGATTTATTTATTTATTATGTATACAACATTCTGCCTCTATGTATGCCTGCAGGCCAGAGGAGGGCGCAAGATCTCAGTACAGATGGTTGTGAGCCACCATGTGGTTGCTGGGAATTGAACTCAGGACCTCTGGAGGAGCAGCCAGTGCTCTTAACCTCTGAGCCATCTCTCCAGCCCCCCTGCTCGACCTTCTTAATACTTAGATTATAAACACGTGTGAACATGCCCAACCAAAGACTATAAAATTAAAGATGAATTTGGGTGATCACTAAAATTCCAGGATATATGCTTGCCACATTTAAAACTTAGAGAAGGATGTCAAAAATTAATCATAAAAACCATGAAAAACTTACGTAACTATGGGTGGGGAGGCTGGGGCGTAGCTCAGTGACAGAGCACTTAGCACACATGAAGAGCTGGCTTCAACCCTCAGCACAACACCACAAAGTTTTAAGCAGCTATCTAAGAAATGTTAGCAGTAACCTCAGCGGCTAGGGATCGACACACCCGGCTATTGGTCTTGTATTCCTCTCAGTGTTGTGAGCACAGAAGTATTTGGTCATTTCTCAGTTACTTTTTGGCTAGCTACTCACTGTGCTGTGAGCAGACGATTCAGAAAAGGGAACGGTTTCTGTTTCCCTTTGCTTAGCCAACAGATGATGTTTGTTGGTATTTTTAAATTTTTATTATTTTTGATCATTTGTGTCTGTTCTGGAACTATGCAAATGTCCATGAAGCCTGAGGCGTTGGATCCCCTGGAGTCGGAGACAAAAGTGCTTGTGAGCCACCTGATGTGGGTGCAGGAACAGAACTCTGGGCCTCTTAACCACTGAGCCATCTCTCTGGTCCCAAAACAGACAGTTTTAAATACGTCATCATGGCAAAAAGCACCGTAGTGATACAGACACACAACTTTGGAAGATGAAGTACCCGCTCCCTCTGCCAGAGGGGAAAAGGGAAGGATTCCGAAAGAGGTTTAAAGGGGAATTAAAAGGGATAAAAAGGAAGGAGCAGCCTACACAAAGATGTGGTGTGAAATAGTGTCTGGGGTAATGGCCAGCAGGGCATTATGTCTAAAGCTTGGCGTCTGTGAAAACAAAGACAGAGCCCAGAGCCCAGAAGGCAGATTAGCAGGAGTTCTGGTTAGCCGAGGAGTTCGAATTTATAGGAAGGCAGAAGCAACTGGAAGACTTTAAGCAGAGGAGTGGCAGGATTAACTTCTGTACTTTAGAACGATCTTTTGACAGCGGTGTGGAGGCAGGGTAGAGAAAGTGAAAGTGGAGACTTAAGCTTGTTTAGGAAGCTTTGGAACTAACCAGATGAGGGCCCTTACAGACCCAGTTATGAGCAGCAGCTGGGAATGGGCGACCTCTCTATTTCTAGGTAGCGATTCTGTCCAGTGCTCCAAGACTGAAGTGGCAGTGTTTCCAGGGTTTGGCAAGTGAAGGTTATGTGAAGGTTTTGAGAATTGGGCAAGATAACGCGAGTAAACAAGCAAACAACGGACAATAGGTGGTTCGTTCATCTGTCCATACATTAGTTTATTTATTCAGCTGCACCTCATGGGATACTTCTTCTGTTAGGAAGTCAGGCTTACAGGATTTGAGAGCAAGCAGAGAAGGAGGGGGAAGGGATGCCATGGGCTTTCATTGTAAGGCAGTGGGCAGAATGGTATACCCAAAGCTGGGGAATGGGAAGCCTACAAATGTTTATCTTGTATAACTTATGCCAGCGGGATACATCATTGAACTAAACAATATAAGCCCCCTGAGATTACACGCCCAGAGTTGGGCAACAAATGGCTTACAGAATGTACAGGATGGGTGGGGAAGTTAGCTTGGCTGGAGAGTTTGCATAGGGACCGGAAAAGAACAGGAGATGAAGCGGAGTGAGGCTAGTTGATGCCTTCCAGCTCCTAAAACAGTGGTTCTCGGCTTTCCTAATGCTGCACCCTTTAATAGAGTTCCTCACATAGTGCTGATCCCCAGCCACAAGGTGATTTCCGTTGCTACGTCATAACTGTAAGTTTGTTACTGTTATGAATGTAAAATATCTCAGATGGAGGTTACTAATACGCCCCCCCCCACCGCCCCACCCAGGAGTCGCGAACATAGATTGAGAACAGAGGTTATAAAAGAATAAATGAGAGAGCCCTTTACAGGTTCCTCGGTACTCTAGCCTGTTCGGGGGACCGAGGAGACGGGGCAATAAAAAGTGCATGCATATGCTTGAGGCGCTCCAGGCTCAGAGAGGCAGTGCCACCTGCCCAAGTCCGCCTAAGTCTCACTTCAGGTTGAGATTCGAGTTCATTAGCCTACGTCCTGAAGCCGTTCTCTTCCTAGAGTGCAGAGCAGAATAGCCCGGGGCAGCCAAGGGCGCCAACAGAACAAGCTCTGAGAAAAAGTAGGGAAGGCTTGAACTCGGGGGCGCTCCGGTGGCCGGGTGGCTGTCCAAGTTGGCGGCCTCTTGACAGCACCACATCCCCAGCACCGGGGCAGCTAACGCACCGGGCCTGGCTCACACTCTCGTTCCACCTCAACCTGCTAGTGGTTCGCTCCGAACACCCCTCGCTGCACGGCGGGTGCCGCGGCCTGCCTCACTTCCGGTTGTTGCCGGGCTCTATATCCGGTGTCCGCCCGCCCTCCATCCCGCTCCCTCCGCGATGCTGTCCCGGTCTCGCTGCGTGTCCCGGGCGTTCAGCCGCTCGCTTTCTGCCTTCCAGAAGGTACTGTCTGGCGGGGCCGGGGTACCGGCGGGTTCGGAAGCCGGCTGTGGGCGGACGGGCGGGCTGAAGGGCAGGGACGCTGGCCAGGCCGGGCACCAAGGGCACCGGGACGCGGAGGCAGCCGACGCCCTCGGAGCCGCCCCGCCGCGTGTGCCGAGTCCTGCCACCCTTGGCGTCTCCCAGGCAGCCTGCGCCGGCCGTTTCCTGCTGTCGGGGACCCTTAGCTCCGGGGCTGGGTGCCGCGCCCGCCGCGACATTGACTCAGAGTTGGCGTGGGGGCACGGCCCCCACCGGATTCCGCGGCCTCTCTTCCTCAAAACCAGCGCGTGTCAGTCTCGTGGGGAGGTTGACATGGTTGGCCGACTCGGTGTTTTGCATTTACCTTCTGAGTTATGAGACTCACCTGTCAGCAACTCGTTAAACTTGCACTTAAAATTAATGTTTATTGCCTCTTTTCATTTTGGGTGACGTCGATAATGTCTTCTTTCTCAACAGGGGAACTGCCCTCTAGGGAGACGTTCCCTGCCTGGTAAGTTCTGCCCTTGTGGTCACCTAAAATACTCTTCTCGTGGTCAGAGCAGCAGGTCAGGAAATGTGTTTCTTCTCATACTTTTTAAAGACAGTGAGTTTAGATAGACGCGAAGCAAAATGCTCCTCAAGTCTAACGGCTGTCTTTTATCCATTCGGTACACAATGACTAAGTTTTGTTCTGCTCTTTCTGGTGCTGGGGATGGAACCTAGGGCATGAGAGGCAAGCACCTTACCACTGAGCTACACCACCAGCCCTTGGTTATTGGATTTCCGCTGCCAGGTACTGAGCTAGCTACTCATTAGAGACACAGCCATTAAAACAGCCCCGTCCCCCTGGAGCTTAAGGCTGAAGTTAGAAAGGCCAAGCGTAAATTGCTAACCAAGTGACCAAATTGTTTAAGTGCTTGGAAACGCGAGAGGGGACAGAACAGTGTTCTTTAAGTAGGCGACATTAAAGCTGTGATTTGGAGGATGTGACAGAGCTCGTGAAGTGACCAGCAGAAGAGGGAGAACGGGATAGTATGCATGAAGTCCAAGGAGAAGAAAGCAGGTGTGGTAGTCTTTTGAAATTGGAAACAAAGTGACTTGCTAGAAGACTTTAGTCAAAGACAACAGTATCCTAAGGTAAATGATGGTGGAGAGGCTGTTGGAGGTTTAGATTCCCCCCACTCCTTGCCTGCGCCAGCTTAAATTTATTTTCTTTGTGTGTGTGTGTGTGTGTGTGTGTGTGTGTGTGTGTGTACTTGCTTGTCCTTCTGTGCCCATGGAGGCCCCAAGAGGTGTCTTATCTGGAGTAATTGGAGTCACAGGTGGTTGTGAAATGCCTGGTGGGGGTACTGGGAACCGAACCTGGGTTCTCTGCAAGAGCAATCCAGGCTCTTAACAACTAAACCATCTGTCTCTCCGGCCCCACAAAGCTTGATTCTCATTCTCACAGCTGTGTGCAGGTTCTTGTTGAGGTTGGTTTTGTTGTTGGTAGAGGGGAGGAAGAGAGAACGTTATTAACAATCTTATGTAGCTGACTTTTTGTCACATGCCTGGCAAACATTTTCCCTCTTTCTCCCCCTTCCCCCCCTTTGAGAGACAAGGTCTTGCTGTCTAGTACTGGCTGACTTAGAGCTCACTATGTATACCAGGCTGACTTTGAGCTTCCTCTTGGTCTCTGACCCTGAGATCTGGGACTACAATCTTGTGCCTACCACATCTGACTCTGACAAATTATTTGTTAAAAGATTCAGTCTTACTGTAGGCTTTCCTGTGCCAAACATTGTTCTGAATGCCTTCTGTGCAACTTTGGGTTAATCATAACCAAATGAGATTTAGTGTCTTTATTTTACAAAAGCATTTTCCAAGGGGTTAGAGTTTTAGGCCAAGGTCACCCCCGCCCCTCAGTCCAAACTACTGAATGAATAAGAGTTGTTATTATTTACTGGTCTACTCAACAGAGTATGACTGTCTGTCTGTCAGTCTGAATGACAGGATCTGATGTAGGCCAGGCTCAACTCAAACTGGGTAAGCAGTCCCAGGATGACATTTAACTTCCCAAGTGCTGGAATCACAGGATTGCTCCACCATGCCTGATTTTACACAGAACCGAGGCTTACTTTGTGCATGCCGGGCAAAACTCTTACCAAACTGCCTTGTCAGCAGACTAGAGTGCTTACTCTGCCAGCTGCTGTGCTAGGTGATAGGGATACGGATGGTCTCTGTCTGCAAGAATCTCATGGGCTAACTGGATAGATGGAGCGAATACACATTTATGTACACATTAGAACAAAATAGCACTGTGGTTACTAAGAAATACAGGATGTTGTATGAGGGTAGCATGATACAACCCTGCTTGGGAAGTTAGTAGAAGGGAGTGTTGGTGAAGGCCTCCCCAGAGAATTGTCATTTAAGATGAGACTTAAAGAATGCATGAGTTAGCAAGGGAAATGGTATTCCAGGTAGGGAGTTACTTGTGCAAAGGTTTCCAAGCAGGAAGAGTTTTGCCTTGGTATAGAAGTGGTAAGCTGGAAATACAGAGCAGGCTAGGCGGACGGTAAGGTGCTTGGACTTTAAGCCCGTGTCAGGAGGACATAAGGCATTAGCACAGTTCATAGTGCATTAGCAGTAATAGCCTTCCTTTTCAACTGGGAGTACTGAGAGATGCCACAAGTATTTTCTCCTTTTTTAATCTGTCAGGAAAAGGAAAAGCCTTGTGCTTAGGGGTTGGCATCTTGACTCAGGCATTCTGGTTAGGCTAGTCACGAACCTAGCTGTATATAAAATAAGAATAATGGCCGATGGCCATTCTGCTTCAGGGTGTTGCTGTGAGTATGAAGAGGTCATTGTATGAAACTTCTTTATAAACTTATTATAGGATAAGCTTTGCACTGAACTCCAGTTTCCAAGCATCTGTGTAGCCAGCTGTGCTCTAGCTCCAAGACAGACTCTGTTTAGAATGTGCACTGCAGAGATGACTGACTGACCTGACTCTGGGAATGTTTGCTAGGGAGTGTGCATAAGGACCAGCTGTCTCGCAGTTCATACCTTCTGCACCCACAGTGTAGAAAGGGTTGTTAATAGACACAAATAGCAGCAAAGAAAACATGAGAAATAATATCTTGAGAAGAAACAGCTGTGCTTAGTAGATATTGGGGAAATGAATTTACGATAAGGACAGTTGGTTTGGTGGGTAGACACTTTTCCCTCTCTCCCTCTCTCCCTCCCTCCCTCAGATCATTTTGCTAGAATTTGAGAGAAAAGCAGCAGGTCAGTAAGCTGTAGATCTGGCAACTGCCATGAGGAGGAAATACCCAGACCTTTTGATTTAGGGTCTAGGAAAGCAGGCATGTTCAGCAGTGGACGTTGTGGGCAGCAACTATAGACAGCACAGTCTTCACAGAGACACTGGGAACCCAGAGTGCCAAGGAAAGCAAGCTTGGGTCATTGACCACTGTCCAGAAAAGAAAGGGGAAGTTACCCTTTTTGAATTAGAACTCAAGACTCATCTTTTGTTAGAGTGACCGGGCTGGAAGACTTAGGAAAGAACTGACAAGGAGAGAGATGATTTGCTCAGTCAGAGACAAGCTGAAGACCCTAGGCCTAAAGCTGCCTGGTCTTTGCTGCTAGGGGTCAGTCAGCAAACATTGTAGCCTAATCCATAAATCCCAGAGCAGTTCCCACCTCATGTTAGGTCCTGTGAAGTCACGGGGTAAGCCATTGTGTGTCTTATTTTCAAGTTTTAATTGTCTTTGACAACCTGCGGGCTAGAGATATTATGCAAACATAAAGGCAGGTCGATTATACAACTTCTAGGGCTGTCTTCCTCTCCATATGCATACCTGCTCTTAATCTCCCATACCTATTCTCTGCCAGTCAGACAGATAGAATGTTTAATAAGCATGATTCCATATGATAAAGATTATGTCGTTGCCTGAAGTTGGTCCACTCCGTCTAGGGTATGTGGGATGAATAGCTCCATTTAATATAGTAAGAGCTCTTGATTAAGAGTTTTTTTTTTTTTTTCTTTGCAGGGGTCTCCTTATGTCAGGGACCAGGTGGTTACCCTGACAGCAGGAAGATGGTGTAAGTATCACTGGGTACTATAGATGTGTGGCCATGATTGATTTACTTAGACACGGATTCTGAATTTAAACATGTCTTTACAGACCTCCAGTCCTATAATTGAGGTCATTATATTGAACCCTTAGACCCAGCCTTGATGGTCATGGTCATTTTTATTATAATCTACATTTGTCATCTGTTCAGTGGTTAGGTATTAGACCAAGAGTATCCTGGAACTTCTTGGATAATTAAATATAATGAGTGTTAACTTGGAACTTTTTTTTTTTTATGGAAATGGGTGTCAAAGAGAACTAAAAGATTCTAGTTGGATATAAGTTCAGCTGAGGGGCTGGAGGTCACAGTTGTAAAAATTGAGAGCATTCTGTTGGTAGCATAGTTACTTATTTAAATGCAAAAGACCAGTTAAGCCTAGGACTTTTGACTGGTTTGTAGGAATGCTATTGTTGTATAATGGAGAGTTTGGAGGAGGGCCATCCACGTGTGGTCAAGATTACCTTGTACTTGTGAATGTTGTTTTGAGTTACTTTGCATTCCAAGTATTTTTAGGGTGCTGAGAGGCTTCTTTCTAGTAACCTATTGAAGAACTGTGGAGCTGCCTTGTTTACAGGGTGCATGAAGAGCTGGCCTGAGAACTTTCTTATTATGCATCACAATAAGTTTGCCTTTTATTCCAAAACTGGTTCATTAACGTGCTATTAGAAGTATAAAACTCCTGAAACTTGTGTTTTGCAGACAGGGTTTCTCTGTGTTTCTGGCTATCTTGAATAGCTTTGTGGGCCAGACTAGCCCCAAACTCAGATCCTCCAAGTGCTGGGGTTAAAGAAATGCCGCATCATGCCCGGCTCTGAAATTGCATTTCTAGGATCTATACTGAAAAATTTACATACTCAGATCCCTCTCAAAAATGAGAAACAACCAGGGGTTATGCTTAGTATTTTAACATGTTTCAATAATGACATGTTAAATAAGAGAGATTTACAGAATTCCATTTTCTGATTGTGTAATTCCATTATAGAGTTCTTTTTCCTCTTTCTAATATTCTGCAGTGAGTAAGTAATGCTTTCATAATTTAAGAAAGTGACTTAGAGGAAGTTGAAACGTATAACTTGTGTGGTTTAAATAAAATTGGGGTAATCAGGAGTAATCGTGATTTATGTAATGAATACATCATGTAGCTATTTGAATGTTACTTGTGAAAAATATCTAAACTTCCAGTTGAGACACTCTTAATTATGTCCCCCTAATAATACCTTCGTGTTGCATATTGTCTTTCTTCTATGCTTATCTGCTTTTTTTATTACACATATTTGTGTGGCGGGGTGAAGGGAGCACACCATGACACTGATGTGGAGGTCAGGGACCACTTGCAGACATTGGTTCTCTTTCTACTATTCTGGTCCCAGGGGGACCAAACTCAACCATCAGGCCTGATGGAACCTTTTCCCCTGAGCAACCTCACCACCTTGAAAGATCATTTAACGTACAACTTTTTACTTTATTTTTATCTAATAGGTTATTACGTGTTTCAAAAGGAAAAAAGCTGTCAGGTATTTTTATCCCTGTCCTCTAGCACATTGCACCTCCTCCAAGAGGCAGCCAGAGTGCTGTGTCCAAGTCTCTGCCAGAGCAGCCCCTGCCTGTCCACGTTAGCTGGAAGTCTTTGCCCATGAGCATGTGTCTGTACAATCTTTATACACAGCACTCTGTGTTCTGTACATCACAGTTTTTGTGTTGTTCCCCTTGGTGCTACATATGTACTTTACAAAGTCATCTCGACATCAAAGTAAAAAGGCCAAACGACAATTAAGTCCATTTTACTTATGTATTGTAAAGATACCTGTTGAGGTATAGTGGCACATACCTTTAATTCCAGCACTCTGGAGGCAGAGGCAGGTGGATCTCTGATTTGAGACCAGCTTGGTCTACAGAGTGAGTTACAGCACATCCAGGCTACATAGTGAGGCCCTATCTCAGAAAAAGAGGGGGGGGGGGGGAGATACCTGTTGAGACTGTCCTTCAAAATCCTTGTGTAAAAAGCAGAAGTTTCCATCAGTTTAATCTTTTTCTCAAAATGTAGAAATAACTGCTGGCTGGCAGATAGCCTTAGTAGCCATGTGTATCTGTGTATCTTTCACCCCCCCAGAAGTAACTGTTAATGAGTGTGCACGCAGGTGATAGCTCTTTCCAGCTTGTTCTACCCCAGGTCTAAAGAGGCCTGGTTGGAAGTTCTTTGCAGTGAGTCCAGGATGGGCAGGTGTGCTGCCTCTTAGCAAGAGCATGCTAAAGGAAATGCCATGTAGGTGGGCTTTTGCTTCTGTTTTTTCCTTTCTTCATTCCTTTCTCTTTTTTTTTTTAGGTTATTTTTTTGTGGGGGAGTTGGTGGTTGCCTAAAAACTTTGCTTGTTTCTGGGTTTATTATCATCTTGCTGCCTTATCTGATCTAAATCTGTGACCCTGAGGCTAGAAACACCTTTGTATTTGGCACACCTGCTGGCACTGCTGAGGACGTGCCATGTGTCTTAGATTTGGATAAAGGAATCTAGTCAGGAAGGTAAATCATTTGGTTAGTTCGTAAAGAACCAAGTTTTTTTTTTTTTTTTTTTTTTTTTGAAAAGTGACATTTCATTACAGTACAGAGCACTCTTATGGCACCTAGGTCATGTCTTTGGGGTCCTACCTGGTAAGTTAGAGTCTCTCCAGGTCTGGCCTGGCGTGTGTGCTTTGACAAGCTCCCCTGCATGGGAATCTGGTCAAGATTCATCAGTTTAAAGAGGTGATCTGTGGAGCCTGGACTGGACAAGATACTAGTGGTTCACAGTCTGAATGAGCTAACATTTGTGTTTCTCTTGTAGCATTAACAGCAGTAGTGTCTTCAGTGTTCGCTTCTTCCAAACCACAGCTGTGTGCAGTAAGTACCTGATTTCTTGTGAATGGACTTTTACTGGAAAGAGCAACGACTGACTGAGCTTATTAAAGAAAATCATTAAAAAGACAAAATGGAACACTCATGATTTTCCCAATTTGTTTTTTTCCTAGAGAATGATGTGATTACAGTTCAAACCCCAGCGTTTGCAGAATCAGTTACAGAGGGAGATGTCAGGTGGGAGAAAGGTACGATTTCGTTCCTTCTGATGTGAGTTAAAAACTTCTAAGGTCTCTCTTACCTGAACCACAGCCTGTGGGACCTGTGATTCCACCTTTCTTTACCTACGTGCCTAATTCCTCCCAGTCTTGTAGGAAACGTCTTTAACACATCAGGCTGAAAGAGTACAGAGGCTCCTGGCTAAGAGGAGATATCCTTTGATTGTCTTTCAGCTGTTGGAGATACAGTTGCAGAAGATGAAGTGGTTTGTGAGATTGAAACTGACAAGGTGGGCTTATTCTAAATCAGTGACGTTTTCTTGTTAGTCTAAGGAAAGAGATAGGAACTTACTGTTCAAAGATCAATTTTAAGTAGCTCTAACCTCACTTGTAAAAATTTCTTGAGGGAATCATGGAAAAAAAGATTTATTAAAGTTTAGCTTTGATTATTCTGTATGTACTATGTATAGTATTCATCATTTGATAGATTTCATTGTTTTCTTTGTAGTTCCTGGCCTGCTTTCAGTGTTTTTCCTTGTATCACTTGGAAACATACTAACTAACGTTTGTTTTAATGTTTCTAAGAAAGGTCAGACGGGTGAATTGTCACAGTAGCAATGACTTGTCATTCTCTAACTCTGAAAATGTGGCCTTAGGTGTTTCCGTGTGCAGAGGAGATGTAACATCCAGATGTAACATGTTGCAACTCTTATGACTCATCCTGTTAGTGATTACACAATTGATTAATGCTGATACAAATGTAGAACGTGTCTCTATCTCTTTCTTTTCCAGACTTCCGTGCAGGTTCCATCACCAGCAAATGGCATCATTGAAGCTCTTTTAGTACCTGATGGGGGCAAAGTTGAAGGAGGAACTCCTCTTTTCACACTCAGGAAAACTGGTGGTAAAGAAGTTCTCCTGGTGGTCAAGGTCTCCAGTATTTTCCCGTGGTAGCAATTTCATTGTGGCCCACACTGGCATTCTGGTTCCACTTTTAATTGAGAGATAGGAGAAATCCTGTTGCTATGTGGTGAACTTAAATTGTCAAGTTTTAGAACAAGAGTAATATAAAACAATAGCCCATAATACTCTGCTCTTTCCATATTTCTCAGATTGAACCTTTTCTTAACTAACAGAAGTGAAGAGTATAAAGATAGTGATTTTCTCCACACTGACCTGAAAAATATAAATGGAAAGGCTTTGAGTGCCAGATATAATAGATGCATTGTTTTTGTTGTTGTTGTTGTTTGTTTGTTTTTGTTTTTAGTGTTCCCCTAAGTGATTTTGATGTATAGTCAACCCTGAGAACCTCTATTTAAAAGTGAAAATTACAGCTAGGCAGTGGTGGTACACGCCTTTATCCCCAACTCTTGGGAGGCAGCAGATCTCTGTGGCCAGTGTGGTCTACAGAATGAGTTCTAGGACAGCTAAAGCTGTTACACAGAGAAACCCTGTCTTGAAAAACAAAACAAACAAACAAACAAAAAAATGAGAATTACTGTTGTATGTTGTCTGTTCTAGACTATTCAGTGTAATTTTTCTCTTTTAATTTTTTTTTTTTGAGACAGGGTTGCTTTATGTAGCCTTGGTTGTTCTAGAACTAGCTCTGTAGACCAGGCTAACTCACAGAGATCCACCTGTCTCTGCCTCCCAAGTGCTGGGCCCAAAGGCATGTGTGTGTTTGTATGTTTATATCTGTGACAGGGAGTGTACATGCAAAGGCATGCGTGTGGAGGTTGGAGGATAACTTAAGAGTCAGTTTTCTCTTCCTGCCATGTGGGCACTAGGAATCAAACTCAGGTTCTCAGACTTGGTAACAGGTGTGGTATAGATTTTTGTAGTTGTAGCATTTAGCTGCTAAAATAGTCAAACAGAAAGATGATGAATTGGACTATTGAGGTTGGTCAGGCCAGGATTAAGTTCAAAGTGAGGAAAAAATGTAAAGTAGTTAGGAAGAATGAATCTGTTGGATTAAGTCCATCCTCCCCTCTTTGTTTTTTTAATGTGTGCCTCTTTGTGTGTATGCTCATGTGTGTGAATGCAGGTATGTGTGTATGTGTTAGTGGGGTCAGAGGACAAGTCTTAGGTGTTGGTCCTTGCTTCCCGACTTGTTTGAGACAAAGTCTCTTGTTCTCTGCCTCACAGGCCAGGTTTTCTGGCTGGAGAGTTTCCAAGACTTATCCACCTCTTGTCCTGCCATAGGAGGAAGGGGATTGTAGATGTACCCACTGTACCCAGCTTTACATTGGTTTTGGGGAACTGAGCTCAGATCCTCACTTAGTTAATAGAGCGAGTGCTTTACCACTGAGCCAGCTCTCCGGTCTGAACTGTGTCATGGTTTTTTTGTTTTTTGTTTTTTTTTTTGTTGTTGTTGTTGTTTTTGGGGGGCGGGGATGAGACGAGGTCTTACTCTGTAGCCCTGTCTGGCTAGATCAGGGTGCCCTCAGTTTCACAGAGATCTGTCTGTCTTTGTCTCCCAAGTGCTGGGATAGCAGGTGTTTGCTGCCAAACCCAGCTTTATCATTTATTTTTAGTTTTAAAATAAAATTCTTCTAATTTAACTACAAAACTAAATATAATGTCCATATTAAAATTGTAGATTTATTACTTGAGCATCTAATTGCTTCCTATTAAGAGTTATTCTGGACAAAATGCTTTGAACTGTCTAATCTTTTACTTAGTGTGTGCATGCGTATGTGTATGTGTGTGTGTGTGTGCACGTGTGCATGCATAGATGGAGAGGGAGACTGTGAATGAACGTGCAGATATAAGTGCAGATACCCTCAGAGTCCAGGAATAGGCATTGATCCCCTGGAGCTAGAGTTGCACACAGTTATGACCCATCCCACATGCATGCTGGGAACTGAATTCAGGTCCTCTGCAAAAGCAGTATGTACTATGAACTCCTGAACTATATCTCCAGGCCCCAAAATAAAACTTTTATCAAATGTTCACTTAAGATTAAAGAGTTCAGAGGCTAGAGGGTTGACTCAGTAGTTCAGAGTACATACTGCTCTTACAGAGGACCCAAGTTTACTTCCCAGTATTTAATAGCTGCTCATAGATGTCTGGAACACCAGCTCTGTGGGTTCCAGTGAGCCTCTCTGGGCACCTGCATTTACATGCACATACCTCATGCGATGCACACATACACACAGTTAAAAAATAAGTCTAGGTCTGGTGGTGGTGGCGCATGCCTTTAATCTCAGAAATCAGGAAGCAAAGACAGGTGAACTGTGAATTTGAGTCTAGCCTGGTCTACAAAACAAGTTCCAGGACAGCCAGAGCTCATATAGAGAAACACTGTTTCTGTAACCTTTTTTATTTTCAATGGATAAGAGTATTCCTTCTGTGTGTTATGTTAAAACAAGATGAATATATCAGCATTGATATAATTCGAAGTATGTCACGTTTATATGTCCATTTTTCAGTTGCCTAGACTGTGACATAAAACAGTGGTTTTCAACCTGTGGGTTGTAATCCTTTTTGGGGGGTGGGGTCACATGACCTTTTCACAAGGGTCACCTAAAATCATTTGCATATCAGTTATTTACATTATGATTCATAAAACTAGCAAAATTACAGTTATGAAGTAGCAAAAATAATTTTCTAAGCCAGGTGGTGGTGGCGGCACACACTTTTAATCCCAGCACTCGGGAGGCAGAGGCAGGCAGATCTTTGTGAGTTCGAGGCCAGCCTGGTCTACAAGAGCTAGTGCCAAGACAGGCTCGAAAGCTACATAGAGAAACCCTGTCTCGAAAAACCAAAAACAACAACAATAATAATAATTTTATGGTTGGGGGTCACCAGGACAGGAGGAATTGTCTTAAGGGGTTACAGCATTAGGAAGGTTGAGAAACCATTGTACTAAAAATTTTATTTCTTTGGACTTAGTAGGTGTTTTGAAAGTATTTACAGGATTTGAAAATAGATTTTAATATTTGTGAAATCAGGAAGGCAGCTTAATTGATCCAGTAGAACATTTAGGGAAGCCTGAGAACAGAGAGTAGGGGCTTATATTAGTGTGTATATCTCTTGGTGTTTTGCCTGTAGCAAACCTAAAGGATTGGAAACAGACCTTTGTCTCTAAATCCTCCTTAGTATCTGTAGTTTAGTTGCTTTCCCTTTCAGACAGTCCCAATGGCATCTCTCTCTCTCTTTTTTTTTTTAATTCAGCTGCTCCTGCTAAGGCCAAACCAGCGGAAGCTCCTGCTGCAGCCCCAAAAGCAGAGCCGCAAGCACCGGCAGTCTCTCCTCCCTCTGTAGCAACTATACCCACTCAGATGCCACCAGTGCCCCCACCCTCACAACTTCCTTCTAGCAAACCAGGTAAGACCCTATGTTAGCTAATTATCTCATTGCTGTAACAACCACCTCATGAAAAACTACTTAAGAAAGATTGATTGATTTGAGCTTGTTTTGAGAATGAGAGAGAGTCCATCATGTCAGGGAAGGTATGGTGTCAGTGTGAGGTGGTCCCAAAGCCTTTACATCCAGGAAGCAAGAAAGATAAACACTGCTCCATCCACTTACCAAATGTCTTCTTTTAAAAAAAGAAAATCACTCCAAGACCCCAGCCCAAGTTATGGTGCTATCCACACTCAGAGTGAGTCTTTCCACTCTGAAAATGAGAACGTCGGTTTCTCTGGAAACCCGTGTGGACACACCCAGGGTTTTATCTCCTGAGTGGTTCTAAGTCCTGCCAAATTCAGTCAAGATTAATACTCATAGTTTATATAGGAGAGAGTGCCTCTTCTTTTTCTTTTTTTGAGACAGGGTTTCTCTGTCGCTTTAGAGCTGCCCTAGAACTAGTTCTTGTAGACCAGGCTAGCCTCGAACTCACAGAGATCTGCCTGCCTCTGCCTCCCGAGTGCTGGGATTAAAGGTGTACACTACTACTGCCCAGCCGGAGAGTGCCTCTTCTAGTACCATCTTCCCTCACAGGTACAGTCTGAGGCTGTCCATGGCTCTAAACGCGCCACGTTGACTGCTTTGTAGAAAGACCTCTAGATTTCTAAGTACTGGGTTTGCCTCCCAGCTTTCTATTTACTAACCATCTGACCTTATTCTCAGTGCCTCTATGAGCAGATTGTTTATCTGTGAGTTTGGGATGATGCTGAGAAACCTCAGTATCTTGACGGTCGTGATAATATGCTGTGAGAGTATTGCTTTCCATGTCTAAGGTAGCTGTACCCTCTCTTCATTTTCAGTTTCTGCAATAAAACCCACTGCTGCCCCTCCGCTGGCTGAGCCAGGAGCTGCTAAAGGTGTGCGCTCGGAACATCGGGTAAGCCTCTGAAGACTTCCAGAGAAGTGGCGGAGGGCTGCTGAGAGCGAGTGTGGTGCCCATCTCTAAAGAGCTGGTGCCTTCCTCCCTCAGCTTTGAGGGTGTGGAAAGTTACTTTTCAAGTTCTCAGATGGTATGACTAAAACATAATGTCTTCTGAACACTTGTCCAGTGGGTTCTCTGCTGTGTTGTGCTGTCTGAAATGCTTCCGATGAGTAAACTATCTGTGGAGAACAGCAGCTTTGGAGCACACCTTCTCTTTCCCACAGTGACGTGCACTCCACAGAGGCAGTCTACTGAGAGCTGTATTCTTAAACTTCCGGGTGGGGGGCAGTGGGCCAGATTGTTGCATTGTAACAGTAAGCTGTCAGAGCAGACAAAACCTCAAGGAAGTATGGTCAAAAGTGTGGGTTTTTGCTTGAGAATACTTCCTAAAAATACCATAGCCTCAACAATTTGTTGTTTTTTGAGTTTCCGTTCCCCAAGTAACTATTCTCACGCAAACCTTTATCAACAGAAGTTGCCCTTTCTGTAATGACTCTTAAGTTGGCTGGTCTACACCACAGTCTTCCTTTTATAAATTGGTTTTGGTTTTTAAATCACACTATTTCCTGAGCCTCTGTTCTTGGTCAAATTTCAGGCTCATCTGAGTGAATACTTTGATCTCTGTTTCTGTGTTCTTGATTTGAGGCCATTCGGGAAAAGGGAAGCCTGTAGTTTAAGCAGTAATGATTGGGCCTAGCATTGTGGCATATGCCATTAATCCCAGTACTTCAGTACTCGGGTGGCAGAGGCAGGAGGGTCTCTAGCCACCCTGGTCTCCATAGAGAATTCCCAGCTAGCCAGGATTAAGTAGTGAGACCCATCTCAAAACAAAGCTGTGGTGCTTGCCATCCATCTCTGGTGTGCTGAGTTGTCACTGCCTGGGGAGTGAGATTGTAGTCAGGTTGTCAACACTTGTTCCACTTATCCTTTCAGGAGAAAATGAACCGGATGCGGCAGCGCATTGCTCAGCGTCTGAAGGAAGCCCAGAATACGTGTGCAATGCTGACCACCTTTAATGAGGTTGACATGAGGTGGGATCTCTAGACTTCTAGTCTGTGTTTCTGTTAGAGTACTCGGACGTACCCTATATTCCTTACCCACTGCTGATTCCAAAACTAGCCTGGACAGCTAGAGGTATTTTTCAGCTTTGCTCATTGTTGACTTATGCAACATGACCTACTAGTTTCATTTGCTAATTTACTTTTCTGATGCTATGTCTCCCTCTTCTGCAATGTAAAAAGCTTCACCTTTTGAACTTTCATGCCTGAACTATTATGATTTCTGATAAATGAGCCTAAAGTAATTATTTTTTTTATTTAGGTTTTTATATTTATTTTTACTTCTGTGTATGTATGTGTGTGGGAGTGCCCACAGAGGGCAGAAAAGAGCATTGGCTCCCTTAAACTACGGGGGGTTGGGAGCCCCTTGACATGAGTGCCAGAAACTAAGCTTGGGTCTTCTGGAAGAGCAGCATGTGTTGATAATTGCTCCAACCCTGTTTTGTTTTTGAGACAAAGTCTCACTTTGTAGCCCTGGCTGGTCTAGAAATAACTATGTAGACTAGGCTGACCTTGAACACACAAGAGATTTGCCTGCCTGAGCCTCCATAATATAGGGATTAAAGATGTGTGCCATCGTGACCAATCTGTTTTTATTGTTTGGTTGTTTTTGAGACAGGTTCTCATGTTACCCAGGCTAGGCTTACACTCTTTGTAGCTGAGGATGATGTTCATGGTGCACCATGGCCTACTGCTGTGGTGGCCCACTTCCAGACATACTGCTCTCTGGAATGGGAAACCCTTCACATCATGCCCAGAGCCAGGACACCACATTCTGCTTCTTTCTATCGGGGACTGTTGGGGACTGTTTCTTGTATGTTTCCCAAACAACTCAGAATCAAGCAGACCAAAGGGCAGCTACTAGCACCTCTCACTCTTCCCAGTTTTGATCATGGAATTGGAATTAAGTTGGGGAGGGAGGGAATATGAATGTGGGTGGGTGTGCATATAAAAGCCAAATCTCAGCTTAGTGTTGTTCCAGGGAGTAATCTGCCTTGTTTATTGAGTTAAGAGTCTGTTAAATAGGCTCTGCTGGTTGGCCAGCGGGTCCCAGGGGATTTCAAGTGTGTGTCACTACACCCAGGTTGGTTGGTTGGTTTTCATGTACGTTTTGGAGTTCAAACTCCTCGTGCTTGCCTGAGAACTGAGGTATCCTGCCCAGCTCCCAAATAATTCTATTTCTAAAATATAAACCTTAGTTTACTACACCCATTCCTGTAATAAGCCAATTGGTGATTTACTTGTTTGTGCAATACAAAACTTGTTTAAAATTTGTGGAGAAGAGAAAATAGTTTGTTGTTGTTGTTGGTTTTTTTTTTTTTTTTTTTTTTTTTTGGTTTTTCAAGACAGGGTTTCTCTGTAGCTTTGGAGCCTGTCCTGGAGCTAGCTCTTGTAGACCAGGCTGGTCTCGAACTCACAGAGATCCACTTGCCTCTGGGATTAAAGGCATGCACCACCACCGCCTGGCGAGAAAATAGTTTTATTTTACAAGCATTGTAAGTGTTTATCATATGCAGAGTAAAGTGTGAAGTTCAGGGGGATTTGCAGATGAGTATAAAAGCTCTCTGAAGCTTACTGTCCCATTTTGGAGAACACTAAAGAAAATATAGAAAAAAACCATCAAAAAGATAAAAATGAGTATGAAGTGGAGAAGAGAGTGGGTTTGTTCTTGATAAGGGTAGCATTAGCAAAGGTAGGGTCAGGGAAGGTCTGCAGGAGGAAGGAGTCTGAATGAGCTATCAAGAATGACAAACATTTAAACCAGATATAGTGGTGCACTTATGTAATCCTGGTGCTTGGGGGTTGGAGGCAGGAGCAACAGTAGTTCAAGGTTATTCTCAGCTACATAGAGGTCAAAACCAACCTATACTATATGAGACCCTGTTTCAATAAAAACAAAAAACAAAATGCTGAGTAGTGTTATAGAGAAAATCATTCCAGGTAGTTTTAACAGTCTGGATCATGACACAGTCAAGAAAGTACAAGAAACAGAAAAGGTCATTACTGCCATGAACAGTATATAAAAGAAGAATGATTAGATCCATATTTCACTAGGTTTTGAATGTCAATGTAAGAATTCATTAAATCAAAAGATCATCAAATCTCCTAGCACCCATCTCCTTTTCTGTGAGTATTAAGTCTCTCCCATGTACTTTTCGGTGAGGAAATTTGTTTCCTTGGTTTATTGACGGTGGAGTCTGCTTACTCTCACTAGAGTCATTGTTCTACTAGGAAGCCTTCTTGATACTGCATGTCATTTTCTGGACCATCCACAGTATAGAAGGACTTTCAGTAATGAATCACCAAGGCTGCAGCTTATGTTTCCTGCATTAGGAGCAAATTGTACACAAATTAAATTGGACTTTGAAATTTTACCCAGTTTCTTAAGACAAGCATGTAAATATTTATGTCCCTAAAAGATGTAGTTGGCCCAACATCCGTGATTACAAGTAAGTTTAATAGCTGGATCTCCTTTCAGTGGCTATCTAGTGTCACTTAGCAGTGGCATGAGGCCTCCCTGTGGCCAGTAATCTGGTTTAGATTGAGTGCCCTTTGGGTCTTGTACCTATCAGCTAACCCAGAGGAGGCTTTTCTGAGACTTGCTCCTTCCTCCATTGTCCCAGCTCTGCCTCCAAGGACAGACCTCTGAAATAGAAACTCCTTAATGACCAGAAAATGGCATTCAGGCAAGTCTGAGAGCAGAGACACTTATCACGCCTCTTTTCCCGCTTTTGCTGCCTTGCATCTTGGGAACCAGTAATGTCTTTAGGGTGGTAATCCTAGCACTAAATGAGGTTAGACTCAGGAAAAAAAAACATTTAAACCCAATCAGTCCCCCTAGGAAATTTTTCTTTTTTTCAAAAACGAAAGGTCTGAAGTGGGCAGTTAAAACTGTACCACATCTTCTCTTTCCTGTTAATGTTGAATTAAGCCATTACAGGGGGAAAGGGAGAACTGAGCATTTGGGCCTGAGATAAAGTTAAATTCAATTTCCATCACAGAATATCATTCCTATAATCAGTTCCTTTGGGAAAATGATAGGAGAGATGTTTCTCAGTAACTCTGTAGTGCTTGTGTGGAAAACAAACTAATAATAATAATAATAATAAAAAAAGAAAAACCCTGCTTGATAGACCAGAGGATGTTCAAATTGCAGTCTTCTCAGAGACAAGCCCTGCTACTGAATCTGAAAGACAGGCCACAGCCCACACGGAGCCACTTTCTAAATACCAAGGAAACCACAGTCAGTCAAACTAATCTTAGGGGCAGGCACTGAGCCTTATCACATCTCACATGTGATGGGTCTTAGTTACCGTTTGATGAACAAGTAGCAAGAACTGCTAACTCAGGAAATAGTCTGATTGCTCTGCACAGCCTGAAGGAGGATTGGGTTTACCCTTCCGTGTGTAGTTAAAATTGCTTGGACTTGCACGGAGCCCATACTTCATGGGTAGCTTTTTTCTTTTTTTGCCAATTAGGTAGAAATATCACAAAATAAGCAGCTTTAGTTTTTGTTTATTTAATATAATTCTAACAAAAGTAATATTGTTTTTTAAGAGTTGTTTTTTTTTTTTTAATAAACTTAATTTGTGTCTAGTGGGGATAATTCATGGCTTTAGTGTAGCCAGAAATACTTTTCCATTCAGGGAAAGGATGTTGATATTTGGTGTGCTCTTCTGCTCATGTATCTGACACTGAAATCTGTGACTTCCAGGACAAAAAAGGATCCCCTTAAAGATAGGTTGGCACTGATTCTTCTAGGTCAATGTTTTTGTGATAGAGCAGGTTATTACATTGACTGCTAGTGAATGTTTCAAAACTTGAACTTAGATAGTACAGACTAAGGGAAAAACTCATCCAGTTGTATATATGGGAAAAAAACCTATGAAAGTCCAAAATTGGACTTTAGCCACCCTGGTAGGTGGTACAGCCAGCTCTTCGGATGATTGACTCAGGAGAATTGCATGTTTAAGGCTAGCCTGTGCAATTTCATGACACCAGTCTTCAAATTTTAAAAGGGTGAGGGGCATAGCTCAGGAGTACAGCACTCAGGAGTGCCAGCGTGGCTCAGAGGTCTTTGACTCAGCCTCTGGCAATATTCACATGTGCGCACATGACACACACACCAGAGCTGCATTGGGATTTTTTTGTATTATGTATTTACAGTAACATCCAAGAGATGAGAGCTCGGCACAAAGATGCTTTCCTGAAGAAACATAACCTCAAACTCGGCTTCATGTCGGCATTTGTAAAGGCCTCGGCCTTTGCCTTGCAGGAGCAGCCGGTTGTAAATGCAGGTGAGTTTCTTAAGACCAGTGTGGCAGAGGTCTTTAGAGCTGTTTGTGAATACAGACCTGCTGTCACATTTAGGGGTCTTGACCAAGGCTTCTTGTTTCACAGTTGTGGAAACATAACTGCCTTCCCTAAGTGAATTTTTCCATTCTCCTTTTCCAAATACTCTCATGATTACTATCTCCCAGCCAAGTGGGCAGAGAGGGTTCCCCTACTGGGTTGCTTGGCAGTCGCTCTGGCAGCAGGCTACTCGGGGTCAGCCCAGCTTTCCAGGCTGCTGCTTCTCACCACCATGTGGGCCCTTTACTTGGGGCTTGATTTCTACATTTAGTATAGGCTCACCCTGGAGGATGACCTTTGATCTTGCGTGGGCTTGGTGCTCTTGTCTTTGCCTTTCACTCTCGTCATTGAAGCGTTGCTCTAGCTCACAGTACTTTCCTGTTGAGGCACTTCTGTGTTCCTTGGAAGACAGGAAAGGGGACATTGACACTTTTGGAGTCTTCAGCATAAAATCCCTAGTCTCCCCCGCTTTGAGTTCTGTGCTCTAGCTAAGTCGGAGGCTGTCTTTGCTTGCAGGCATCTCAGCATTCTCATCCATTTTCCATGCATTCTGACAATACAATGTAGACTCTTTGGAAAAGTCCCAAGCCCTGATTTTATTAGCTATCACTTATAAAGCTATCACTTTATATCTATCACTTATGTAGCTACAATTTTCAGCAGGTGGCTTGCTATTTCAAGATGGCGTATTTAAAAGCCAAACCACCTCCACATCTACCTGGATCTCTAGAGAGAGGATTCCCTTGTCTTGCTGAGGAAGTGGATCAGGCAGCATCCTCTACCTTCCTTTACTTTTCTACAGAACACTCAATAACTAGTTATTGTCTGCTCAGAGAAGGCTTGCATAGATAGAAAATGTACATTCACTGTGGGAACCTTCTGTGAGCTGTGCTCCTAGTGCAGGCTCATTCAGAGCTTGGCAAATACTGTCATAAATTGGGATGGGAGCAAGGACAGTGCCAGTTGATTGTAATGTAGTTATTTTTTTTGTTGATTCATCAATCCACACTGCGTTGGCTACTAAAAATTTTCACTCTGTTAACTCATTAGTCTTGGCCAAAAGGGTTATATGTAACATGTGTTTCTCTTTCATAGTGATTGATGATGCAACCAAAGAAGTGGTGTATAGAGATTATATTGACATCAGTGTTGCTGTTGCTACTCCAAGGGTATGTTGGAACAAGAATTGGGAGTGCTTGCTTAGATCGTGACTTAGTTATTTCTCTATTGCTATGATAATGGCACGACCAAGGCAACTTAGGAAAGAAAGAGTTCATTGGGTGGGCTTCAGTTTCAGAGGGGTCAGAGTCCACTGCCATCGTGACAGGGAGTGTGGCAGCAGACATGCTGCTGGAGCAGTTGCTGAGAGCTCAGCATGCTGAGACAGTCAGCAAAGCAGAGAGAGCTAGGCAACTGGGAACGGCACGGCTTTTGAAATCTCAAAGCCTGCCTGCAGTGACACACCTCTTAATCTCCTAAACAGTTCCACCAGCTTCAGACCACGTATTCAGATATATGTCCCATGGGGCCCATTCTCACTCAGACCACTACAGATCTCACTTATTTATATTAGAGCACACGGAAGGGGTCAGTAGTAAAATAATTTTTTTTACATCATACCACATTCTTTTATCTTCATGTGAGTCTTTTTAATTCTAGTGAGTTTAGGGTATTATGGTTAGGAAGACCTGTGGATTAAACCAAGGAAATTATAACTATAAAGAATATTGTTATTTTGCAACTGAAAACAACTTTTCATTCCAGGGTCTCGTGGTTCCTGTCATTAGGAATGTGGAAACTATGAACTATGCAGATATTGAACGGACCATCAGTGAACTAGGAGAGAAGGTACGGTAGGCGGAGTATGTGGGTGAGCTGCTGGGCAGTTGAGGGAGCGCAGCCTGCACAGGCGTCATTGCTCAGGCATCTGGGATCAAAGGATGCAGAACCACCTAGAAAAGCCGTGGCTGTGTGAGTCCAGGAGAGGCATCTGCCAGAGCCTTCCATGCTCAGGTGATAGAAACTTCAGCAGTCAGATCTGCTGGGAAGTAGTGTTGGCTGTAGAATCCTGCTTCTTCTCACAGCCCCCTTAGCTGAATACCTGTCTTGTTAGCCGGAGTTTGTACTGCTGAGCTCAGATAAGAGTTTCCTAAGTTTACTTGTTTGGAGTGAAGAAATCTGGTTTGACTTAATGTTTCAATTATGAAACTTGTTTTTAGGCCAGAAAGAACGAACTTGCCATTGAAGATATGGATGGTGGTACTTTTACCATTAGCAATGGAGGAGTTTTTGGGTCACTGTTTGGAACACCCATTATCAACCCCCCCCAGTCTGCCATTCTGGGTATGCATGGCATCTTTGACAGGCCTGTGGCTGTGGGAGGCAAGGTAAGAACCATTATCTTCGATTTTTTATTTTTAATTCTTTAACCAAATCCTTATTATAAAGCATTCACTGTAATTTCAGGCTTAAGTTCCATTTCTTTAATTACTAAATGATAGCTAAGGCACTGCTTCTCAAACTGTGATCTGTGGATGTCAGCGTCATCTGGGAATTTATTAAAAAAGCAAGCGCTGAGCTAGAGAGATGAATCAGCAGTTAACCTGGGTTCAGTTTTCAGCATTAGCCATCAGTAACCAGTTCTGAGGGATTAGGCACTCTTTTCTGTCCTCTTCAGGTACCAGACATGCACATGGTACACATACATGCATGTAGACAAAATGCTCATACATATTAAAATAAATTTTTTTGAAAAAGCTAATTAACTACAGAAGCAGACATGTAGACGGTTCTGATGTTAAAGCCTGAGAACTACTGAGCTAACTACTCCACCCAGGCCTCTAGGACTTGTTGACATGCTTCATTGCCAGAGTCCCCCAGGGAGTCAGGGATGGATAGCCTGGGAGACCCTGGGAAACAGCACAGTGCACTGCAGTCTGTGAGCTATAGAATTGTGTGAGAAACTTAGAAGTTTTCTGGGAGGTCAAGGATTGAGACCAAAGAGCTTGAGTTAGCCATTGGAAGATAAGTTAGTTTAAAAATAAAGAGATTTCTGAGACTGCTGTGTCTGGAACGTGTGTGGGTCCAAAAACCGTGGGTCTTCTTTCTGCAAAACAGTTACACGCCTAACTTTATACATAAGAGATTCTTGTTTTATTTATGGATTTTCAAGACAGGGTTTCTCTGTGTAACCCTATCTGTCCTGGAACTCTCGGTGTAGACCAGGCTGGCCTTGAATTGAGAGAGCTTGCCTCTACCTCCTGAGTTCTGGGGTTAAAGGTGTGTGCCACCACACCTGGCAGATAGCAGGAAATTTGAACTCGGAAGATTAATTTTCCCCCTCAGACTATGAGTATAAACTAGTGGTAAAGTGTTTGTCCAGTGTATTCAGAGCCCCTGGTTTGATACACCAGGTGTGATAGTACATGCTTGTAGTTACGGCATTTAGGAAGTAGAGCCAGAGACCCAAGATTGAGTGTCGTCCTTAATTTTACAGTGAGTTTGAGAACAGCCTGTGTTACATGTGACCAGTTGCAAAAAACAACACCAACAAACAAAAAACAGCATACATTTTCCTCTTTAAATTGTAACTTCAAAAGGTTGGGGATATTTCTCAGTAGTAGGATGCTTGCCTAGCATACTCAAGGCCTAGCGTTGGTTCCACATCATTAAAAAAATAATAATAATAATAAAGATTGTAATTTCAGCCCGGCCTTTAAATCCCAGCATTCAGGAGGCAGAGGCTGTCTCTGAATTCAAGGATGGTGGTGGGGGTGGAGATGTGCGCAGAGAAACCCTGTCTGGAAAAACAATAACAAAGATTATAACCCCGGGATGCACCCTTTAATCCCACCACTCATGAGGCAGAGGCAGGCAGATCTCTGAGTTCGAGGCCAGCCTGGTCTTACAAAAGCTCGTTCGAGGACTAACTCCATAGCTACTGAGAAACTCTGTCTCGAAAAACAAAAAGCAACAAACAGACAAACAAAAAGAAAAGATTGTATCTTCAGACTATCTCTCTTGGCAGTCACAACTAAAGAGAAAACCTTTCTTCAGGGACCAAATTAGCCGGTTGAATGTGGCGTTGCATATTTCTTTTAAGGTGGTTTGAGGACCTGCTTTCTTGTTTGGACCTTGCTTCCGAGTCCCAGAGGTTTGCACTAAAGATTAGCTTGGTCTTCAGAATAAACCCACATTACCCCAGACATCACTGTAGGGAAGACTTGGAACTGCGAATGCTAGTATGTGCTTTGTTCTCTCACCCTTGTTGCTCTTCTCTCTATAGGTGGAAGTGCGACCTATGATGTATGTAGCCCTGACCTATGACCACCGGTTGATTGATGGCAGAGAGGCTGTGACCTTCCTCCGAAAAATCAAGGCAGCAGTAGAAGATCCAAGAGTCCTCCTCTTAGACCTTTAGGAGGAAGCCACGCCCCCTACCTATCAATCATGCAGGAACTGAAAACAGTCTTCTCCCTGTCCCCTCATCAGTCCCAGAGTTCGCCTGACGACAGGCAGGCACCATACTGTTGGCCTCGAGCAAGGAAGCCAGGGCACTATATAACCAGCTTTCACAGGCCTTTCCTTCGTGTTCCTTCTAGACTCTTCCTCTCCCTCTCTGTGTCCTTCTCTTGAGAGAGAGTGAGAGCCCTAATGGATGCCCATTGATATCCCACCTTTCTTCCAGCCCTCTGCAAAGATGGTTTTGTTTCTCCCCAGTAACAGTATACTACAGGGATGCCACCAGGGACCATGTGACCAAGTTTGTCTTTGGAAAGTGCTCTCCAGAGATGCCTAGGGGGTGCTCTGCCTCCCGGGCTCTGAGCCTCTGTCCCAGCTGTGCATATTCTCAGCTGCTGCCACCTGTGTGGAGGTATCGGACACAGACAAAGGCGCTGCTTTGCTTAAATGCACCACCATTCTGAGCTGTCAGTGGCTTCATGGTGCCTCTCTACCTCTCCAGGAAGCCCAGGCCGGGGGGCCTTGGGGATAGGCAATGTGGTGCGGAGTCCCCTGAGGTTACCTTTTATAATCCCAGATGGGAGTAGAACCCTGACTTGCCTCGCGGGCTTCATTGTAAGCTCACACTGGGAAGATTCTTTTTGGTGTAATCACATACAATTATGGTCATACCAACCCTTCCCAGGGTTCTGGGGTCATTCTAGAACACTTCGCATTTAGAGCAGATTTTTAGTACATCTTGGCGGTGAGTGAGGGAAGAGCCTGGTGAAGGGACTGGCTCTGACCAGATCAGGTTGGCTAGAGTTCTCAAATTCAAGGAGGAATCAGCACGTGATGGGAAGGGGCTATTCTCTCCCTTTCTGGGTGTGGCTTGCAAGGAGCAAGGTCTTGGCATCCCTAGCAAGACACAGATACAGGGGAGGATGGACTGTGGTGGGATCCAGCCTCAGGAGTCAGTCCAGAGTGATGGACGGGCTGATGTCATCTCCAAGGTACTGCCCTTTGGGTGCTGGCACAGTCACTGGGATTTCTTGAAGCATGGGAAACTGCAAGTGACTAGGTATGGAAGGAAGCTCCTAGACCTTGTGTCCTCTGCACTGAGGCCTGAGGCTGCTGACAGTTGACACAGGGCCATAGTGTTCAATGCCCTTTTTTCTGTCATCCAGGACAAGCTGGGGGGAGGGGGAGAGGCCAGTATTGAGTGCCTGCGGCGTCTGCTACTACATCTTCACTATCCAGAACTTGTAACTAAAATATTTAAAGAGGCTGATTTTGAATGAAAATTAAAGGGCAAATGTTCTCAAACAGGGTTCCAGCATCTGTGCTCCTTTTGGCCCTTGAGATTGTACAGCCAGTGTCTTTATCATTGAAAAGTACTTCTTGAATTGCTATCTTGTGGTGTCCTGAGGCCCCCATCCCATACTTTAGACATGTTAGGGCTATGCTAATTTAACTGTCAGCCAGGGGCACCCACAAACCACTTAGTACCCTGGGTTCCTTTTGGGGAGCCCGACAGTTGTGACAAGCCAACTCTTGAAGAGATGTCGTAGCTCCTACCTATGTGAATCCCTTTAAAACGCCGGGGAACAGTTGCACCTTCGAGGGACTTGTGTTATTTCTGAGATGGAGTGGAGAGACATGAACACTTCTAATTTCACTTGAACTTAGTTGTCACATGTGTACCAAGATGTTTGTGGTTAGAATAAACAGGTCGCCTAGGAGCAGTAGTATGTGAGGGACAGGACAGGGTTGGTCACTTTAGGGTGACCACAAGGGATAATGGGTATGATGGAGGGTAGACTTCAACCCTCCCAGCCTTCACACAGAATCCGGTCTGTTGATCCTGCCTGCAGTGAGGCTCTCTGTCGCAGGAAGAGGAAGCTGGCAGGTGGTTCAGTGAATTGTGTGTCAGATGCAGTACTAGATATGCTATCAGATACAATGTTTCCAGCAACTTCTGGAGTAGCTGCTGTCAGAGCTGGGACCTTGGTGTTCCAAACGAAGTGGCTTGTACTTCATAAAGCAGTGGCAGAAGTTGGTTTGCATGGTCTACCACAGCAGCCTACACCTGTGAGCCAGCACTAGTGGTCGGTTCTAAGTTAACGTCTCCAGAACCTCTGTTTTCTCAGGAGGAGCTTCCATGGGCTCACTGCAGAGATTAAGGTAGTGTATTCCTCAGGCACCATGGTCTTCTAGAGCATCTCTTCCCTTTCCTCCCTTTCCTGAGCCAGTTCTGCAAGAGCAGGGGCTGCTTCCTTGCAGACCACTTTGACTGCAGTAATGAGGCGAAGATGCCACCAAAAGAGAAGGCTTTATTAGAGTGGACCAGCCCCAGGGGCTGCTGGGATTCCAGCCATGGAGCAGCTGCGCTGTCCTTGTCCTCTGCTCCAGACTCAGCACCAGGAATATTGGGCATCTCCTCATGTTGCCCCCCCCCCCCCCACACACACACATAAGTGTTTGGTGAGTTGCCCGATGGGTGAACTACACCAGATGCTACCTTGTAACACTGGAGGGATCTGGAGATTGGTCAAGTGAAATTTTGTTGCATCTGCCACACCTCGGGGATTGGGTTGTCCTGTTCTCAAACCTAGGGAAAGGACTGTCTGCAGATACCCACTTACCTAGTTCTTCAGAAACCAGCAATACTGGACTTAAAGCATTGGGTAAAATCAGTCTGTATGTTCTGTGGTGTCTCGTTCTAAAAGCGGACAGTGGATTGAATAAACTTCATACTAAAATGCAGAATGGAAACAACCAGCCTGAGAAAAGACTGCTGACGGCCTGTGGGGCAGACCCTTCTGACACAGGAGAGCCAGCCAGAGAATAAAGCTCTTTATTCTGTTTGAAAACTCAGTCTGAGTGCTAAAAAGTGCATTCTTACCCACTTGTAACCCTACTGACATCTCTTCCCCTTAGTTGATTCTCCAAAGTCATTGGGCCATACTTCCCCACCTCTCCCTACTTAACCCTACAGAATAACCTACTTCCGAGTGCCCCAACCCCTGCGGGAACAAACATCTGGTAGAAGTAGCCTGCGAAAGTGGACCGAGGACAGTCTTGGATTGGGTCTACTAGCCATGGGATCAGTGTCCTGAGATGTCTTAAGTGGTTGGTGTGCATGTCTGTGTCACCAAGTGTGTCAGTCGGCTCGGCAGGTGTTGAGAGGTTTGGAGCTAGAGCAACAGAAGGCAGCCTTTAACATGAGAGGTCCCAGCCAACGGTGCAAGGTGTGTGTCCAACAGGCATCTGTTGCTGATGGGTGCAGGTCGCTCAGCAGGGTGCACCTCACCGCCCCTCCCAACAGTTACAGGGGCTGACTTCTTTAGGACAGAAGCAGTCACACGTCTGAGGCCCAAGCAGATTCTGAGCAGGTAAAGCAGCTACCGCCCCACCTTCGTCCCCTGAGGTCCACTGATTAAGGGCCAGCCAGGTGGCAGACAATCAAGAACTAGGCCATCTTCTTTGTCCACTTACCCACCCCTTACCCCACTAGTCGGCTCCATTGGATAGTACTGAAAAAGGGGTGGGACTTGAGTTTGCTGGCGCCACCACCTCCAGCACCGAGGCGCCGCTGGGGATCGAACTGCAACAGCTGTGGGGAAAGAATCAGCGCTCTGCCTCCTTTCCCCATCGTGGAGGTAGGCACCCACCTCCTGCAACTCCTATTACCAGCCCTCAGGGCGCTCATTCCCCTTCCCCATGATGCTGGTGGTAGCTGGCACAGGCATGCGTGGGCATTTATTGCCCTATTGCCCTAGTGTTTTTCAGCTTACATAGGACAGGTGGTTCTTCCCATCCCCCCCACCCCCCCCGCTGCCGCCCACATACCAAAGAGCCAGCCAATACCTCACCTCAGTCAGCAGAGAGGCTGCTGGGCGACTGAGCCACTCAGGCAGCTGAAGTTGGGTGTGGGCCTGGAATCCTGAAGGGTGGCTCTGGGACAGGGCCTGGAGAGGAGGGGGACACAAGGAGAGGCACTGAAGTGGCCACTTTGGGGAAGCTTACACCCTAATGGTAGCCAGGACTTGGCCCACTCCCATGGCACATTGCAGGGCTAAGATGCTGTTGATAGTTGCCTTTTGCTAGAATCTACTGATGACCCAGACACAGAGCTAGACCCTTGACACTAAAAACAAGAAACTGGTTCAGGAAAGGGGACTTGGGTTAGCATTGGGATTTGAACCCGCAGCTAGTTGGAAGCATTCTCTCCATTGTTTTTAGGGTGGACACTATTGGGAACAGCCCTAGAACTTCTTTCCTTACAGAAAAAAAGGTTCCACGAGCCACACATGAGATGGCAGGCCTGGCCCGCAGCCACTGAGAGCAAGGGAGGAATGTGGAGAGAAGCAGAAGTACGTGAGGAAAAGGTGAGCAGCAAGAAGAGAGGGGGGAGCCACGTGGGGCCTAGGGTATTTGTCTAAACGGTGCTCAGAGCCCCTGAGCATGGGGAACAGGCAGATCAGGTCAGGTCTCTGGGTCACACAGTAGTTTGCTGGGGCCATGCAAACTGTTTTCTGCTCAGATGTAATCTGTCCTCTCGCTTGTCTCCTACCTAACAGACCCCAGATGGAGTTCTGGGCCCATCTGAGAGGAGTAAAGAGGGCAAAAGTCTTAGCAAGTGGGCTTTCTCCTCTCTCTCTCTCTCTCTCTCCCTCCCTCCCTCCCTCCCTCCCTCCCTCCTTTCCTTCCTCTCTCTCTCTCCCTCTCTCCCTCCCTCCCTCTCTCCTTCCCTTCCCCCTCCCTCTCTCTCTCTCTCCCTCCCTCCCTCCCTCCCTCCTTCCCTTCCCTCTCTCTCTCTCTCTCTCTCTCTCTCTCTCTCTCTCTCTCTCTCTCTCTCCTGAGAGCATGTGGAGACGAGGCTGGAGATGGAAGTCTTTCCTCTATTGCTCTCTGTCTCACTGGACTTCACTTGACTTTCACAGGTTGCCGGGGAACTAAACTCAAGCCTTCATCCTGGAGCAGCCGGCACTTTTCCCACTGAGTCAGCTCCCCGGCCTGTGAGTGGGCTTGCTTGACCAGGCTGGCTGGGATGTGAGAACCTTCTTCCACCTTCCAGGTCTAGGGATCACAGCTTTGGAGGGTGAGTGGGGGTGAACAATAAGAGGATATTTAGGACATGATCCAGAAACCTTCCGGGGAGGGATTGCGGCTTCTCCAACCCTCAAGCCAGGCATGCTCTTCCCTAAACCCCTGGCTATCCCAGCTCATGTAATTCATAGAAATTGACTGTCTTCTTAACAACAGTCCCTCGTGTGCTCTGCCGGCCTGGTGGGAGTGACTTCCTCTATTGCTGGTGGTCTGGTGGGTAGAAGGACGTCCAGCCCAAAAGTCAGGCACAGAGAACCAGGCGGCCTCTGTTTAGATCCTGGCTGGCTAAGAAGCCTTTGTTCGGCTTTTCCTCTGTGGTCCCCAGCAGGGCTCTGTACCCTGCCCAGCTACTCACCGTTCCCGTGAGCAGTTCATACAGAAGTGACCCATAGCTCCACCAGTCACAGGCTTCGGTCAGTTCAGAAATCCCCCCGACCTCTGTGAGAACAAGAACACATAAGATGGCCCTTTCTGGTGGCATCCTGGTACCCACTGCCCTTCCCCTGTCTTTAACCCACACAAAAAGCACACAAGATCTAGAAGCTTCCCCCAACTCCCTTCTTGCCTGGAGCACTGTACAGGCTGTCTGCAGCCTCCTGGCTGCACCGCGGCTCCACTTCTGACCACTGGCCAAAATACGTGAGTCGGATGTGACCTTGTCCAGGGTGTGTAGGGAGGAATGGTGGGGCAAAGGTTGAAAGTAGCATCACTGAGCAGCTGGAATCCCTAAGTGGTCCCAAGGCTTCCCCCAATACAGTCATGTTAGGGGTTAAAGGTCATCCCAAGTGCAGTCTCCCTAAGGGCCTAGGGAGTGTTTCTGGAAGGGCAACCCCAGGCTCAGGTTCTCATAAGGGGCCAGATGAGGAAGGGGCGTGGGGAGGGACGACATGTAGCCCTATAACCTTGGGGGTCCTGTTGACTCTGGGTCCCTCCCAAGGAGTGGACTTGGAGCAGGGGGGCTAGGGCTCCTACCTGCCTGATCCAGAAGCAGGTTCTGTGGGTTAAGGTCCCGGCACAGTACCCCTTGCTCATGGAGTGCCTCCAAGGCCACGAGCATCTCGGCTGCCCACTGCCTCACCTGCTCCTCTCTCGAGCTCCAGACCGCTCGTCCACACCCCAGGCTGGCCCTGTTTGCCGATGGGGGGTTCTGGCCTCTGCCTCGGCCGTAGACCCCTAGCACCCGGTCGGCCCCTTCCTGTAACCAGTGGAGCCTC